GTGGAAGATTACTTAAAGACTCCAGACATCTTTATTTTTAATGACACTCCAGTGTTACTAATCAGAAGGATAGTTCTGAGAGCCACAAGTTGCCAAAATGTTTGGTTTGTTTCTACTAATCAGGAGGGTTATGACACGGGAAGGAGAAATATAGGCCCACAATACTGGTTCCTTGCATGTCGTTACTGCTCAATGACAAAGGAGGCTTATTTTCTGAATTGAGGGATAAAGTGAATTCTTCCAAAGTCTTGCCTAATTGATGATAGGAAAAATCAATTTTTTGATTTTTCAATCAAAAGTTTAGGAAAAATGGTAGAAAATTGAGAAACAACGAACCATAATCCTGTTTAGTAGGAGTAACAGAGGAAACATGCTACCAAGATCCAGAAAATTAATACAAGTCTAGCAAAAGATAAAACTGTGCCACTAAGGGAGGCTTATTTTCAATCATCTGTAATAATAGTGGTCAATGTTTTGCACCTCTCATCCATACCTTCCTCAAAACTTAATCTAAGGACAGAATCTAGTGTCTGTCATTTAAAATGTAAGAATGAGATACCTGTATTTTAAATTAATTGTGTAGTTATTGATACACAAAATGTTTCATGGGCATATTTTTGTGCGTATTTTCTGAAAGCTCCGTGTGCACTTTATAGAGTAATTACTGAGAGGCCAACAATTCGTTTTTGTCACTTGTATTTTAATATTTAAATTTTAAAATTTTAAATCATTTTAATTAGGATTATTTCTAAAAGTTTCTGAAAACCCTAATGTCTGCTTAGAGACTTCTGTATTTTTTTTTGTTCTTTAAAATGAAATTTAAAATAATATATTGGATAATATATTGTGAAGAAAATGACTCCCAAATATAAGTAAAGAACAAGTAAACGTGGAGGAATAAAACTAAGCACTAAGACAAAAAGAAAAAAAAGCTGATATAGTAACTGAGCACAGAGGCCAAGGATGCAAAAGCTCTGGGATCTAGTGGGATATATTGTACATGCTCCAGAAATTCTTAGTTTGTGTGAAGCACTGACATTTCCAGGGAAAGCTTGCCAGGTTTAAGTTCCTGGGCCCCATCTTTAAAGGTGTGAGTCTGGCATTTGCAGCCTAAACTCTCTAGGACAAAAGGCTTATCCTCAAGCAAAAAGGAAATTGGGCCCAAATCAAGTAGGAAAGAATGTTTACCCTCCTTCTTCTTAAAATAAGGATTTTCAGTCCCTTAAAATCACACCATATGGGGTAGCTACCTATACCAACAATTCTGGCCAGAGCCTGGAGTGAGACCTTGATAACTGGTTTCATTTTCCATTTCATGCTTGGTCTTTCTACCAGACCCCATAAGGTTGGTTTACTCCTCCCTTTTCACAGGCTATTAATCGTGTGGAATAGTGGATAGGGCACACTCTCAAGGAGAAAATTGCAAGAGGACTGCAAAAAAGTGAAAGGGGCCAGAAGAATCTGATTATCTTGGACCTTAGTTTATTTTATGTAAGCTTGGAAGCCCATAACTTTCCTTTAAAAATCCTGTTTCTTGTCCAAATGTTCATGTTTTCTCTGAGACACAAGGTGAACATTCAGAAAAGCTGGAGGAAAATCCCCACAGCCCTGTCAGCACCGAGAACAGGAAACATACAGCTTTCCCACTGTAACATATTAACTTGTGATCTTCTCATCACTTCAACTAAGTGGAAATATTTGAAATTTAATGTGTAAAATGGAACTTTGTAAAATTGTGACTTGTCTCTTAAGAGCTGGAGTATACACACCTGGAGTACTAAAAACAGAAGACACTGATAGCCAGCCAGATATTTGGCTACATGTAATCCTAAACTGTCTGCTCAGTGTTTCATAGTATCCATCATAAGTGATTTAATATTTTCACTAGTCTTTTAACCGTGTATAGATAAACAAGGTTTGCGAACCACTATGAATCACAAGTTAAACAGTAGTCAACAAAATGGGGCCGTATAATATTGTTTGCAAAAGACCATGGTATGTATAGACTTAAAGGGATCTTTTTCTTTCTTTCTTTCTTTCTTTCTTTCTTTCTTTCTTTTTTTTTTTTTGAGATGAGTCTCGCTCTGTTGCCAGGCTGGAGTGCAGTGGCTAGATCTCAGCTCATTGAAATCTCTGCCTCCCGGGTTCAAGCGATTCTCCTGCTTCAGTGTCCCAAGTAGCTGGGATTACAGGCACGCGCCACCACACCCAGTTAATTTTTGTATTTTTAGTAGAGACGGGGTTTCACCACGTTGGCCAAGATGGTCTCTATCCTGATCCTGTGATCCGCCAGATGCGGCCTCCCAAAGTGCTGGGATTACAGGTGTGAGCCACTGTGCCCGGCCTAAAGGGTTTTTCTTATTACATTAGGCTCTGGTTTAGATCTAAACTTAGACCTAAATTTAGTTGAATATAATTGAGTTTCTTCTACATGTAAAGTAGCTGTGCACTTTGGAGGTGAAAGATTATAATGGTCATGAAAACACTGTCTTTGCTGGCAAGCTGCTCACAATTTTGTGGAATGAATAAGAAAGGGACATATTTCTGACACAAAGTGCTTTGGGAGTTCACAGGTAGATATGATCACAACTAGGCAAGACATCACAAAAGTCTCATGAAGAAGGCAGCATTTTAAGATAGTGGCCTTGGAGGACAGATAGGATTTCAACAGGTAAGGATGGTATAGAGCAATTTAAGCAGAGAGAAAGTCAAAAACACAGGCAATGAAGATAGGAAAACAGTGAATTCCCGCAAAAACTTCAGTTTGGTTATGTAGCTTAACAAAATAACTGAACTGGTTTTGGTATTGCCCTTTATCACTCAATGAAGATTCTGGTATTTTAAGGCTGTCCAATTTGGTTATCTGTGACGCTTGTTAAAATGTAGATCCTTTGGCTCTACTCTTTGACAAATAAGATTCAGTTGTCCATCTGGGAATGCACATCTTTAATAAGCACTCCAGTTAGCCTAGGTGCCAAATGTTGAAAAACCCTGCCTAAGTAAAAGGGGAAGAATAAAAATAGACCCTGAGAGGTAAAAGCAGTGTAAGAATACACAGCCTAACTTTTTTTTTTTTCCCCAATGGATGGTAGGGGCAGGGAAGCGAATAGTAGCTAAAGGTCTTGTTAATTTTCGTACAGGTTGAATAGCCTGTGGGATCCTCAATACCAGTTGGTTTCCCTATTCTCCAGAATATGAAATGATCACAAATTAAGATATATGAGAAAAGGCAATATGACTGGTGATGTAAGGCTGAGTGACAACCTTCTTGCTGTCTCCAAGTAATTAAAAGAGTACTTCTCAGAGCAGAGACACAGAATGCAGTCTGATTAAGAGGAAATGGCTTTCAGATCTCAGCAGAGAAATTTAGACTTAGCTAAGTAAAATAACTTCCTGGCAAAAAGGCAATGTTCACAATAACTGTATTGTCTGTCTACACATATGTGTTTCCTCTCTTCATGAAATTGACCTGGGGGAACTTGTAGATGTTGAAGCTAAGATAAATTGGGAGCCTGGTTTGAAGTGACATCCAGGAGCACCTCTCTTTAAAACTGATTTTTTTAAAAAAGTGATAGAATACTCAGTAGGGCAAAACTGGTGAATTTCCTAGGAGAACTAACTAGGCAAATACTTTTCAAAGCATTTTATTACTTTGAAGATTTTCAAAAATAAAAATGAAGCCCTGAGATTTGCCTGTGTGCTGATCAGAATTAGGAGGAAATTGTTCTGTTCTCTTCTGTCCAGAACTTGTGATTACTCATGTGTCATAATGGTACAATTTCCTCTGATATACGTGCACAGAGCTATTCAGTTTCACATCATTTGCAGTCACTTGCAGCACACTAGGTCTGCTTTTTCTGGGCTTAATAAAGTGTGCACCTAACCAGACTGTAATATAAAGTTGAATTTTGAGCAAGTGGTTGCTTGTTACCTGTGATGGGATGGTTTCTGCACAGGGCTTCACAACCTAAAATGTAAACAAAATGTGCTGTTTCACTTACCATGAAATTGAAGTAAAATAACAATAATAATTTGTTCAGGGGCTCAATGAAGCACACTTCAAACCACATGGATTTGATCATTCAAAGCAGGATGTTTCATAATTCCCATTTCATTTTTGTTCTTCCCACACATATCTTTAAAGTTAGTTAAGTCCTCCTAGATTTCAGTAGCCTTGAGGCAACTATCCAGTCACCTAAGCTAAAATTTATTTACCTCAGAACAAGGGCCATAGACCCAACTGAGTCAACTTTCTATGGATTTTGATTCTCTGTTCTGGGGCTACATCTGCTGTCTCAGGTAATTAAGAGGTGACTAAATGACTCCAGTAAATGGGATTATTTAAAGAGAAGCTGGTTGTCCACTTATTTTTAGACATATAGGAATGATTTTGATCAAATGATGGTTCAAGGACAAATGCTGGGCTCGCTATATCAAAACCAAATGGAGAGCTTTGAAAAGATACAAATGGCATACTGTACCCCACGAGTACTCAATCAGAATCTCTGGAGGAAACACCCAGAAGCTTTTATTTTATTTTTTAACCTTCCCCAGATGATTCAGATAATCAGTAAGGTTAGTAAAGCAGTAATCCAAATCATAGTTTCTCAAATGTTAACACGCAGAAGAATCATCTGAGTTCATTGTTAAAACACAGATCTTGAGGCATCAGGTCCAGGGTGACGCCTGAGATTTTGAATTTGTAACAAGCTCCCAAGTGTCATTCGTTCATGTATTTTGATTTATATTACTAATATAAATTAATTTATATTTATATAAATTATATATATATTTATATAAAACAAGGGGCTAGATTACTTCTCATGTTCTTTCAAGTTATATTTTTCTGTGATTATAAAGTGCCTTGTAGAAACTGCACCATATACCCTTCCCTTACATAAGAATTTTTCATTCAAACTAGAATATTTTTCTGAACATAGGCTTTTCTTTTTTTTAAAGCTGGGCCAGGAAATAATTGACTTATTTTATTTTGCTTGCAGCTCTGCCTTTGTTTCTTACTTTTTAGATTTTGACATATAGCTGAAAAAGTCCCAGAAAGCTGATCTTTCCAAGTTAATCATCCCTGAAGAGTGGCGGACTCATTGTGCACTAAAGCAATCCTTTCTTCTATGTGAGCCAAAAAAAGAAAAACGGCCTGCCAGACACCTGTAAAGAGAAGGCTATCATCATATAGGAATTTGAGGAACTGCTATATGGTACATTCCTTTTCCAAATGGGAGAGAATAAGCTCTCATGATGTCCCAGAGGGCCTTAAAATAAACAAGAGGGAAATTGTAACAGCTTGTCATCTGTGCTTGTACACTAGACTTTCATGTAGTTACTCTAGAGAAATCTAAATAAAAAATGCAGATAGTTCTTTGAAAAATCCTCAAATAATATGTAGAGACTCAGGCTGACGTGGTAAAAAAAAAGGAAGGTTATTTTATACTTGGTATCTCCAACCCACTGGCAAGCAATCTTTTGGAAGGAACAGCAGTTGATTGTGAATTTAGGTTTTGAACCACCATTAGGCAAAGATAGTTTCTCTAGAGAGAATCATGCCTGCTAATTACACATGTACCGGGCCAGATGGAGACAATACAGATTTTCGTTACTTTATTTATGCAGTGACATACACTGTCATTCTTGTGCCAGGTCTCATAGGGAATATATTAGCCCTGTGGGTATTCTATGGTTATATGAAAGAAACAAAACGAGCTGTGATATTTATGATAAACTTAGCCATTGCTGACTTACTGCAAGTTCTTTCCTTGCCACTGAGGATCTTTTACTACTTGAATCATGACTGGCCATTTGGGCCTGGTCTCTGCATGTTCTGTTTCTACCTGAAGTATGTCAACATGTATGCAAGCATCTACTTCTTGGTCTGCATCAGTGTGCGACGATTTTGGTTTCTCATGTATCCCTTTCGCTTCCATGACTGCAAACAGAAATATGACCTGTACATCAGCATTGCTGGCTGGCTGATCATCTGCCTTGCATGTGTACTCTTCCCACTCCTCAGAACCAGTGATGATACCCCTGGCAATAGGACCAAATGCTTTGTGGATCTTCCTACCAGGAATGTCAACCTGGCCCAGTCCGTTGTTATGATGACCATTGGCGAGTTGATTGGGTTTGTAACTCCGCTTCTGATTGTCCTGTATTGTACCTGGAAGACGGTTTTATCACTGCAAGATAAATATCCCATGGCCCAAGATCTTGGAGAGAAACAGAAAGCCTTGAAGATGATTCTAACCTGTGCGGGGGTATTCCTAATTTGCTTTGCACCTTATCATTTCAGTTTTCCTTTAGATTTCCTGGTGAAGTCCAATGAAATTAAAAGCTGCCTAGCCAGAAGGGTGATTCTAATATTTCATTCTGTGGCATTGTGTCTTGCTAGTCTGAATTCATGTCTTGACCCAGTCATATACTACTTTTCCACTAATGAGTTCCGAAGACGGCTTTCAAGACAAGATTTGCATGACAGCATTCAACTCCATGCAAAATCCTTTGTGAGTAACCATACAGCTTCCACTGTGACAACTGAATTATGCTAAAAGAAAAACCAAGCTGAATATGACCTGAAATGCAAGTACCTCAGAACATATCTGCAATACCCAAGCCACGGGGAAGAACTCGCAAAAAAACACAGCTTTTCAGTTCTGCTCTATCTTACTGCTGTGGGGAATTCACTTCTTCAAAGCAGGACCTATGTGGAGCATTATGATCCACCATTATTGATGTTGACATATCCGTGTAGTAATTTTTCATCAAGTCTGTAAATCTTAAAATATCAAATTTCTGTGACATCCTACAAACATATGCTCTCAACTCTAGTCAGTACTTTTACCTGTGACCCTCAGGCACAAAAAGAGTATTAGCTTGGAGCCACCATAAGCATTTAGTTTTGTTACAGCAAATACTGAGTCTTTATATTCAGAGGAGATGTAGGTGTCTTTTTATATTAGTAATCACAGTTTACATGCCATTTTCGTATGTTTGGTTATATTTTAGTGGGATGGATGATATATTACCCTGTGTAAAGAAAATGTTGTAAACATAAGATCATTTTTATCTCTCAAGTGTGATTACGTTTCAGAGTTTGAAGACTAAAATAGTTATTTTCTTCATTTTTGTGTCAACATGAAACATTATTTGTCACACCTGTTCACAGAATGAAAATCTGAACTCAGGCCTCTGGCATATTTAAACTAAGAACAATATACATATTTACCTATGATAACCCTCTGTGACTATAAAAGATGCCGTGTTGCATCTACCTAGGACAGGTAGTTTGTCAAAGTCCACACAAGGTGACTCAAATGGCCTCTAAGCCCAGGAGAAAGCAGAAAGGTGACAATCACAGTTCTGGCTCTCTTACACTTTTTCTAAAGAACATTTCTGGAGATGTATGGACCTGCCTAGTAGAGGAAGTTTTTAATCATGCTTCTAGAGATACATTGAGATAATGTTGACAGGTTCCTGCACTTTCTGAGCCTATGGAAGAAGTAGTGCACTAATGAATCATTAAACCTAGGTCAGAATGAAAAGATGAAGCAAAATTGGCTAATCCTTTTAAAATTCTCATCACATTTTATTTCTTACTCTAATATAAGGACACTTAGCTTAGACTGTCCAGTTACTTACCCAAGCCAGAATAAGTCTCTCTGCCCCATCATTGCATACATATTGCGGTCAGTCACATGGACCCTAGAATCCACATTGATTTTTTTTGGTCTAGCTTTGCCCCAGACATACCATTCTAAAGCCTCCAAAGTCTAGCTTTTAGCAGCTAGGGAAGGCAGTTATTTTACCTTTTGAAAAATGTATAGAAGATTAATTTGGTCAGCCTTGGGCAACCAATGGCCAATGACTTGCCTACTACCTGTTTGGTACTGTTTTGCGGAAAACAGACCCAGGATATTAGTCATAATTAAATCTTAGGTTGTAAGTATGATAATATTTTGAAACATGTTTTAGCAAAAAGCTGTAACTTTAAGAAAGTTCTACTTAAAATCTGTGTGCTATATAATGAAGATAACTTCTATGTCTCACAGAAGGAATGTAGAACCCAATCAAAGGCGTTATCATATTTAGAGGAAAGGGGTTGTTTCAGGCATACAGTTATGATACTAATACATCAGGGGAAAACTGGTGACATCAAAATGAATTCTAATATCTAGACTGATGGAAGGTTTTCTAAAGTTTTCTTTGGACAAGTGTTGATTTTACACATATGTTGTTATTAAGATAATACCCTATTAGAAAACTGACTTTGTGCTGCTAGCAAGTGTATCTATGTGTCTTCTAACAATTCATTGTAAGGTATATGTTTTGATGTGTTAAATAAGTTTTCAGTAAGTGTTAAATTGTATTTTAAATAGCGTAACTATAACTATGTCTTGTCTCTTTGCTTTAAAGTGTCTTTTTTTTTAGTATAATTTAGTGTTGTAATAGGATTGCAAGTAACAATTTTGTGGAATTGTGAAATAACTGGATACTTGTAATGTGAGAGTCTCATCTACACCATTTGTGCTTACTATTGTCTCGATTAGCATGAATTACACTTCTTAAGGTCACTTTGGAAGATGATTGATTTGATTTGACTAACATATTGATTTCACTTTGATTACATATTTTTTAAAGAGGAAGGGAAATATTTTCAGGAGATGATTGACCTTCTTAGAAGAATGGTTGAGGGTAGGACCCATTTGTTAGGCAGCCCATTTACATCATTCCAAAAAAGAACAAGTATTCAGTGTTCTTATGCTGCTGAGCTGAGGACACCCTTTTTCCCCAGGTCTGCTCATCTAAGTTTGTATTCAGTGCTCTGATTTACTTTATTCACCCCCGATCCCATCAATATGTTTTGTCTTCTGCTTGATTCCCTTGCTCTCCCAGGCAGCAACCTGATCAATTCATTCACATCATGGTGCTAATAGCTAATGTTAGCTTAATATTAATTTACCCAGAAATATCTGAATTCCAGGCTTTAGGACTACGCATTAAACCAAAGTGGTGACTTTCAATGGAGGGCTAATACCTACTGAAGCAGACAGACTGGAGGGAAAGATATTTTGAAGAAAGTGGGTCCTACAGCACTGCCTTTCATATTGTATATAGTAAGCAAACACCTACTTTGCTTGCCATAATGAGAATGCTGACTTTTAAGAAATTAAGAAATGTATCCATGAACATGGCTATCAGTTTCTCAGATGTCTGCTCATCTTCTTTTCATTTTGCCACTCTCCTTTCCTATACTGGGCCTGACTTTCAGGGGAAAGTCTAAACTAGTAGCTTACTAATTTAGGAGTACTGCTGCAGCTACGATCCAGACAGCAGCCTCTTCTCTGAGCTTCTCCTTTCCATGGCTTATCTTTCCTCCAGACTTCTCATTTATCACTCTCTGGGTTCCATGAAATTGTGGTGCAGAGAGAAAACACCCTCAACCATAGTAACATATACTTCAAGATAAATAATTCCACATTTCCTATATAAAGTTGTTGAATTTTGATTCAAAAATGCATAAGTATTCCAATAAGAAGAACTTTGAATATGTAGTGATTTCTATGTAAAAATATTGTCATTATTATTATTATTATTATTATTGAATTCAAATGGTTTATATGTTTTCATTGTCACCCAGTTAAGCAGCCAATTCTATTAACTGATAATTCCACAAAGAGAAGCCACCTGCCCCAGGATCAACAGAACAAGCTGCCTTGGGCTGAGAGGGTGCATCTGTGGAACTCTTGCGCAACTTACATTTTATGTCCCATTTTGATTTTATTCCCAAGATACTGTGAAAATGTTGCACTTGGAATTTATTTATGGCTATAACTTATAATATTCATTTTAATAATAAAGATTGTCTTTGTAATTACATAGAAATTTTCTGCCTCCAGAAGTCAATGTGTACTTAGTCACTTCTTTCAACACACTGATAGACTTGATGATCTTTGTTAGTGTTCTCACATGCATGGATAAAATTCCCCTAAGACTCTATTCTCGCTTTTTCTCTCTTTTAGAGGTGCAGTCTATTCTTGAAAGGAAAGATAAGCCACATCCCCAACTTTATCCCACTCTTGCCACTCACTCCGTCCGTAGATAGACGTTTTATATTCATATTCTGCTAAAAATTATTCCCCATCTTCACTGTGGACCAAGTTTTTGAGAACTACTTAAAGCAATACATTTGTAATGATGGAACAGAGAGAATATTTTCTTCTTAGTCTTAAGGGTTGTTAAGATGTGGCAGTCTGAGTTTTTCTCTGGATTGTCAGGGGAAAATAAAATCTCATCCTCTACTGTCCCCCCGTGCTCTTCTCAAAACAAATCTACTTAAACAAAAAAAAATGTGTAAAGTCAGGAAAATTGTCTCTGACCCTTTCCTCAGCCTGGCTCTCTTTCTTCTACTTCAGTAACTCCCTCATCATCTCGCCTATATCCCTAGCACTTCCAAGACCCCAAATATCTTCTATAATAACCAAATTTTTAGGAATTACACATTTTGGCTGTTGCAAAAATATTTTCCTAGGAAGTGGTGAAGGGTTTCCCAAGGAAGAATTTTTGATGCTTTGGTAAACCTGAATAAAATAATGGGATATAGATACCAGACATGCCCCATGCTTCAAATGCCCTCACATTTTATAGAGACCTCTTCTGTGCCCTCCTGAAGTCTGTCCAGAAACAACTTCACTGTCTTTGCCACCATATTTTGATGGAGTGGTGGAGGTAGGGGAGGAAGGCGTATGAGATAAACTCTCAAGTAAATGTGGCTATTTTCACTTGCTTATTTCTTAGTTATTAAAGGATGTGGTATGGGGATGGGGAGAGCGAATTGTAATTTTACTGAACTTCACAGACCATTTCCTCTTCTTCAGAACTTCTTCAGCCTTAACCACTACTTGATTTTGCCAAATAATTCAAGTAATATAAATATGCCAATACTATATTGTTTCTATTGTTTGTTGAATAATTATCTTCATCCTACTTCTTACTGCAATGCATATCTTCTGATTCAGCTACAGGCATAGCCCTATTCAACGCCTTCCACTTGCCTTCTTGTATCTCTTCAAAGAATAATAGAACAACTGCTCCATAGGGAAGGCTGTCATTAGGCCTCCCCTTCTGACTCCAGCATTTACTTTTAAGCAAGAGTTCTTGAAGTTTGATTCTGGCCCATAATAGTGAGATTTTTCAGACATTTCTAAGCAATGTTGAGTATCTACAACTTGTAAGAAGACTTGTAGCATTCATTATCTTTTAAAATGCTACTCTAATAAAAGGACAGAAATAAACAAAAAGTTTGAAGAAATGATGGTTCAAGTTATGACACTGGCGTGGAAGCATAGAGGAAGCAGTCATACTATAAATTACCCACACCATCTTTGCATAAAGTAAAACCCATAATAACAGCTTAAAAAGGTTCTGAAATCACATTACTGCCCTCTGTCATTAAACGAGTTTAACTTTTTCACTAAAATGTATATAAGGAGATAATACTATGAAAAAAGTAATTCGGTAAACTTTTTACTATGAGAAACTTCAAACATCTTCATAAGAAGAACAATAAATACAATGAACACCCATTATTGAAATTCAAGCAATATCAACACATGGCCCAGTCTTCTTTCTTCTATGTCTGCATCCAATCCCCTACTCCAGATTATATTAAAGTGCATTTCCCTTATATAATTTAATCTATGAATACTGTAGTAAGTCACAGTATCATTTAAATGAACTGTTTAATGTATGATCAAAAGATGCCGAGGAATAAAACTGATTTTAGATGTATTCAGTAATTACATCAAACACTAAATTCCGAAAAGTAGAAGAATTTCCCTTTGATTAATCTGATCAAGTTTAAACTCAGAAAATATCATTTATTAACCTGAGTCTTTTTTTTTTTTTTTTCAGGTAGGTGTTTCTTCTACTGCAGAAATGTAATGAAGACTAATGTTGAATTCAGTTCAGGGTCTCCTTGGTCCAAATTATGGCTCCCATGAGAAGGAGTCCAGTAGACTTAGCTCCACTGAATATAAAAATACCAACGTTAACAGACTACATTTCCACATTGTAGTAAAAATGGTCCACTAAACAATACTCATAGAGTAGTATTAGAATGCGTCTATGTAAATGTACACTCTGCAATGTTTCTGAAGCTTATGCGATAGTTATTTGTACTCTGTGAATACTGCTCATAGATAGGTGGGTAGACTTCTATAAAGTTTCCCTCAAGCATTACACATTTTCTACCTTTCAATTTCTTCTGACAAGAATGGATTAGTTAGGCTATGGGTTCAACTGTGGTTAACAGAAATGTAGCTTAAACTACATACAAATATATTTCTCTTTCATGGAAAAGTATTAGCCAGTATGGTGGCTTTTCTTTGCAAGATGTTTTGGACATAGACTTCTGTACTGTAACACCAACATTTCTTGGGTATTCTTCTAATCTAAATGGTGCAAGATACTGTTTAAAAAATTAATTGGGGGATCACATCAAGTTAAAATATTTCTGCACAGCAAAGAATATAATCATCAAAGTGAAGAGACAACACGCAGAATGAGAGAAAATATTTGCAAACTACCCATTTGACAACGGATTAATAACCGTAATATATAAGGAGCTCAAACAACCTTATAGTAAAAAATCTAATAATCTGATTCAAAAATGGGCAAAAATTATAATAGACATTTCTCAAAAGAAGACATACAAGTGACAAACAGTCATATGAAAATGTCCTCAACATCACTGATCATCAGAGAAATGCAAATCAAAACTATGAGGAGATATTATCTCACCCCAGTTAAAATGAGGGTTTTTTTTCCTTAAAGAGTGGCAATAACAAATGCTAGCAAGGATGTGGAGAAAAGCAACCCTCATACACTGTTGGTGGAAATGTACATAGTGGTGTTAGTACAACCACTATGGAGAAGAGTTTGGAGGTTCCTCAAAAAAGCAAAACTTGAGCTACCATAAAATCCAGCAATCCCACTGCTGGGTATATAACTGAAAGAAAGGTCATCAATTTATCAAACAGATATCTGCACTCCTATGTTTGTTGCAGCACACTGTTTACAAATAGCTAAGATTTGGAAACAACCTAAGTGTCCATCGATAGATGGATGGATAATGAAAATGTGGTACATAAACACAATGGAGTAAAATTCAGCATAAAAAGAATGTGGTTCTGCCATTTGCAACAACATAGATGAAAATGGAGATCATTATAGTGAAATAAGCCAGGCACATAAAGACAGACATCATATATTCTCACTTATTTGTGGGATCTAAAAATCAAAACAGTTGAGCACATAGACATTGAGAGTAGAAGAATGGTTACCAGAGGCAGGGAAGTGTGATGGGGGTGGTGTTGGGGAGGGTGGGGATAGTTAATGGGTACAAAAAAAAAAAAAAAACCCAGAATGAATAAGACCTACTATCTGATTGCACAACAGTGTGACTATAGTCAACAATAACTTAATTGTAGATTTTAAAATTACTTATATAGTGTAATTGGATTGTTTGTAACTCAAAGGATAAATGCCTGGGGGATGGAAACCCCATTCTCCATGATGTGCTTATTTCACATACCATGCCTGTATCAAAACATCTCATGTGCCACATAAAAATATACACCTGCTGTGTACCTACAAACATATATATGTATATTTTTTGAGATGAAGTTTTGCTGTGTCACCAGGCTGGAGTGCAGTGGCATGATCTCAGCTCACTGCAAGCTCTGTCTCACAGGTTCAAACGATTTTCCTGCCTCAGCCTCCTGAGCAGCTAGGACTACAGGGGCATGCCACCACACCCAGCTAATTTTTGTACTTTTAGTAGATATGGGATTTCACCATGTTGGTCAGGATGGTCTTGATCTCCTGACCTCATGATCCACCTGCTTTGACCTCCCAAAGTGCTGGGATTACAGGCGTGAGCCACCACGACTGGCCATCTAGAAACATTTTTGAAAATTAAAATAAATAAATAAATAAATGAGAGATCCTTATGCAGAAATGGCTCTAATGTCTTGGGCTCCTACATAAGCAAAGTGAAGCTCAATGTAACAGCAAAATGAAGTTTAAACTTAACCAATCAGAAACTGCCAAAACCCTATAACTAGGGACTTTCAACCTCAAATAAAGCAAATTCCTATCTGTAGCCAATCAAGTGATTTCTTTACCTTGCTTCCACATTCAACCTATAAAAGCTTGCTACTCACACTACTAAAGCAAAACTCCCTAAACGTCTTCTGTTTCTGAGTGCTGCCCAATTCACAAATTGCTCTTTGCTCAAACTCTGATAAATTTAATTTGTGTAAAGTTTTCTTTTAATCATATCTTATCACATGGACATTGTAGCTAGTATGACTGAGAAATGGGGAAAAGGAGGCATGCCTCTTCCCTTTAAGTGGATGACAAGAAATTGTGAATATTCTTTCTGCTTGCAAACTACTAGCTAAAAATCAGCTATGTAGCCCTGCCAAACTGCAAGGGAGGTTAGAAATTATAGTCATTATTCAGGTGGCCATATGCTATTAGATATTACTTTATTATGGAAGAAATGAAGAACAAATATGGGGACAGAGTGTGTCCCTATCATTCTGGGGATGTCAAAGGCACCAGCAATGTCATTTGCCCTAAAGATGCCATCTAAACTGCAAACTCCAGTAGACCTTAGTATGTTCATTCCATTTTTTAAAACCACCACTTTCCTCTAATAAAGCCACACCTTTTCTCCCCTGTTTGGTTATCCAAACCATCCAATATCACCTATACTTACAGCAAAAAGAGTAGTAGCCTCTAGAAAATATGATGACAGTGGTGCCCTGGCAGTGTATGAACAAGGTTTAATATCAGCAAGCTGGGAAATCAAAGACGAG